AAAACACTGAGGCTTAGGAAAGCAGAAAACCTTTCAGAAAGTTAATCCAAAGATTTCCCCAAAGCCCTGAGGGGTTGGCATTAGAGTACTGGAGATGCCCAATCTGGGACCCTTTACCCTTTTCCAGGCCACTGATTTAGCTCAGTCCCTCCCTGCCCGGAAATCACTGGCCTGTCTCAGCCAGTTTATCTAGACATCTCACAATTAAGGAGCCAGTTAGTGATCACTTCTCTAGTGTCTGGCTGAATTAGGTAAGCATCATTCCCAGCTCATTTTCTGGAAGGAGGCAATGTGGAACGTGTCCACTCGCTGAGCAGTAGCCTCCCATCAGTTTACAGCTTCAGAATGAGCAAAATCTCTCTCTCTCTCTCTCTCTCTCTCTCTCTCTCTCTCTCTCTCTCTCTGCAACCACAGCTTTTTGACAAATGTTTCATTTTAAAGAGTAAAAGCTGTGCCTGCCTATGCAACCACATGGCAGACAATTTAAGGTAAGTATTTTAGACTAAAGTTTAAAAAATGAGAATGGAAAAATAGGCAAAATCCTTACTTGAATTCATCGTTCTTATTTTTCAAGTTGGTATTTTTTTTCTGCCGTGTAGCCACTGAAACAAATACATTTTTTTTCTTTCTGATATTTCGAAGGTCAAGTAAGGAAGATAACTGGGGATCAACTCAGAAAACTATCTCTACATCTCTGTCTCTTGTTTCCACCCTCCCTATGCACTTTCAAAGATTCCCGATTAGAGAAGAAACATTTATTGCAGTTTCTAAAATTAGTATTTGGAAGTTTCTTGTTTTTTTTATGACAGGCTCGCACCATGAGAGAGACAAAGTCTCCTTTAATATCGCAACAACTTCACAAGAACTGTCAAAATCTACGTGTGGGTCCAAATAGGATTAAAATGGAAGACAAATATAACTGTTTCCGAAGACCTTAACATTTTCTTAAATTGTTCTATAGTAGAGACTAAGGAACTGTATATAACAGAGTAGCTTAGCATGGGCATCCTCAGGTTTTGTATGGATTATAAATATGCCTTTCATCCTGGTCTTGCCGTTAAATATGTTCTTTGTACACCTGAAAAAATGCCTCTGGAATCCTGAAAGGAATCGCTAGGATGTAGATCTAGGATGTCCAGATGACTGTGGCACAAAGGCTTAGAGGAGACATGAAAGAAAGCTGCGCCGGATCAGGTGTCAGCGCCACAACGCAGGTTCTGGGACAACTTGGCCTGGGATTCCTTTCACCGTTTACTTGTTCTTGTTTGACCTCAGCTTGCGCCTCCAGCTTTGACTTTATCTGAGATATAGAAAGGTCAGCCAGCCCTCCGGGGCGAGGCCCCGCCCCGACTCTCCGGACTTGGTTGGCGGCGCAGACTCAGCTAGCTCCTGAATCCACTCGGGGAACCTGCTGTGCCCACACAGCCACAGCCCCTGGCTTCTGCAGAGGAAGCCAGAGAGCCCGCCAGGACTCCACGGGTGCCCACCAGCTACCTTCCCGGTGTCCCTGGGGTGAGGGACTCCCAGAAGAATGCTGTGCCTACCCCACCTGGCTGTCAGTCCTACTGAGAGAGAGAAGGAGGGGTTAATTAGTACGATTTGGCCTTGGGAGAGGTGCTCCTAAAATCTCCGTGCTTCGTAGACGACTAGACTTCGCAGACCCCTGCTTAGCAGCAGTGGCTCACTTGTGCGGGTCTCTTTCTTCTTGCGGTGGCAAATAAGTGGATAGAGTTAGCCCTCAGACTCAGGAAACTTGTTTAAAATTTCTCACGCCAGAGGCGACTGCAAGCCAGCACGTGGATGATACCCAGGTTTGGGCTTCCAGCTGGTGTCCCTAGCTGTCAAAGAGCGCGGGCGGAGCTGGAGGGCGGGGTCCAGGAGCTTGGCGTGGGAGACAAGGAGGTCGGTTCCAGCTCAAAGATTAGAAAAAACAGGTGGTACATTGCCTGGCTAATTCAGTCTTTCGGTAAATGAAGCTCTGAGAGTTGTGTGCTGAAGACTTAGCGAGGGGCGGTCGGTCACCTCTGGGTCGGCCATTGGCTATATTAAAGGAGCTCCCCCGGTTTAGTGGACAGCCGAGCTTCTGGGGACCTTGGAGGGACTTGCCTGGATCCCCAGGATACTTGTTTTGCCCCCTTTCACCCTAAGGCAAGATATTTAGTTCTCTTCAAAGTCGTTTTTGGATAAGCCTGGCCTCCTCCAGCAACCCCCACAGAGGGTAGGTTCAGGTTTCAGACTCCAGAGAGGCACTTCCACAGCCTGCCTTTCGTTTGAAGTAGGGAATGGGGTGTGAAGCAAAGGCAGGCTGCACAAATCTTGTCCAGAACACAGTCCGAACAGAAAGCCACTGCTTAGTTTGGTGGCTGCTCTCAGCCTGAGTTCTGTGAAGGTTAGTGGGAATGGTTGTCACCAAAGATTTCTCCCCCACCTCCCACGACCCTCCTCCCACACCGCCACAAACACACACAATCACACATGTCATACAATAAGGAATTTGACATTATCTGGTATTTATGAACTCTTTCATGAGAGCCACAGGACACCTCTACCTCTCTGCTTATTTCCCATTGAAAGTGTATGTTTACATGGACTACGGTCCAAACCCACAGAGTCAGACTTCTAAGTGACCACAGACACTGGAGCAATGACTCCTTCTGGATTATGGCCCTGTTAGCCGGTTCCAGTTTTGAAACACCTACACAGTTTATGTAGTTAGTTCTTTTTCTTTCTCTCCAAAGCGTTCATTTCTTTCCAGATGTCACTCAGATGTGTACTTATCCCCCCATACCCCAGAATGCTCCCATTGTCCTATGTGTTTATTGCTATTTTGAGCTGGCGGACTAGGGGAAGGCGGATGTCTTATTTTTCAACGAACTCTTAAAGGTGAGCCGACTTCAGGATGGCACACGACTCTCTTCAAAGAATTTATTTTCTCAGGGGCACAAAGAGGAGCAGAGCTCATGGTTCCTGGTGCATTGCTGACTTCTGAGGCGGGTGAAACCTAGGATGGTGTCTGTGAGCTGCATTGTATTATGGGAAACAGCTTTTTTTTTTATTGCGATCTGTTGTCCTGATTTTTGTTGTTGTTGTTATTTGTTTGTTTTGCTTTGTTTTTGATGGCCGAAAGAGAAGGCGCTTAAAACTGGAGGGTCTCTACAATTTTCAGAAACAAATGTTGAAAGTTTGTTCGGGAGCTGGTAGGAATGTATACCTTTCAAGTTCACTCAGTTTCATTGTGCCCTCTTTAGAAGAAATATTCATGTTGGTCTTTTGTTTCTTGAAAGAAAACCCGCAGAATAGCCCAATAGTTTAGAAAACAGCCACCTTGTGAGAGGTCTATCAGTTGTTTCAACATTCTGGCCTCCTTCCCCCTTGACAGCCCACTCTTTATTTCCCATAGGAAACTGCCCAGTAGAGCTGTCCATCGTATCAACCACAAATGCGAATTATTTCGGAAAAGATGCCCCTTTCTGGAATTAAAGGCAGGTGTTCATTTCATCTGGTGAATTCTGTAACAGTGGTGTCAGGGTAAAAAAGTTCAGCGTCGGTCTCCCTCACCGGTCCTGCAGGCAAGAGGGGCTCTGGCCACGGTCTGGGTTACTGTCGCCTCCCTTCCTGGAGCCCTGGCTAGGCAGACGCCTGGGAACTCTCAGCCGGCCGCCTGCTGCGCGCAGGCACCTTAGTCCCGGGAGCGCGGTTGGGGCACGGTGCGCGGTAGGCCTCCGGGTCTGGAGCTGCGGCGGCAGCAGGGCAGCGGCGACCCCATGCCCGGGGCTCATTAGGAGCGGAGCTGGCAGGAGCGTCGTAGTACCGGAGCAGCGAGCCCAGAAGCGGGGGCTGTGGGGGTTGGGGGTGGTGGTGGTGGTGAGGGTGGGGGTGGCACGGGGAGCACGCCAATCACTCAGCCCGATTGGCCAATGAGCACCGCGCCTTGGGGCATGTCTGACCAACAGGAAGAGGGAAGACTTGAGAGCGTCATTGGAGAAGGGCGGGAGAAAGGGAGCCTGGGAGCGAAGTTGAAGCTAAACCCCGTAAGCTAGAAAGAAGTTATAGGGGGGCGCTTTCGGCTCCCAATTAGGAACAGTACCGGCTACTAAGCACCACGGAGGAGGAGGACTCGGAAAACACCTCTCCCTTCCCGAGCCCGCGTCCTCCTCCTCCCACTACCCCTCCCCCCATTCATGTCCCCGGGAAAGCGGCCCAGGCGCAGTCCGCGGACTGCGGGTGACAGCGGGGAAGTCAGCGCCCAGGCTCAGCAGGCGCGCAGGCATGAGCGCAGTTAGGGGGCGAGAGCCTCGGCAGCCTGCGCGGCTCGCGAGGACTGAAGGTAGGTGAAGCCCCAAGCGCCAAGAGCTCCAGGCGACGTCCGCCAGGGGCTGTCGCGCCGGCCACCTGTTAACTCCGTTCTGCGGCGCCCGGAGTGTGACTGGGGGAGTCCCCTGGGGCTTGATGCGTAAGCTTCACTTCTCGAGGAACCCCTCGGACGTGAGCCCCGAGCTGGAGAGGCAGTCCGGGTGGCGGGCAGTGGAGGAATTCTTTGCGGCCGGATTCCCGCTTCAGCGGCCGGAGAGATTGGCTTGGGGCCCCGCGGCGGGCCTGGGGTTCCGCAGAAGTGCGTTTAGCCGTCGGAGCTACCTCGGATGCCGCAACCGAAAGCAAGTGTGACTTGCGGGCGGCCTAGCCCGGGGCTGACAACTCCCAAGTCTTAAATACCCTGGGTCGTAACTATCAGAGCGTGGGTGTAGAGGCCATTTGGGGCCGTTTTGTGGAATTGCAGTGGATGTGAGTCTATCCGAGCCGAAGACCTCTTAACGCTCTGGTGTTCTTGTCTTCGTAGTGGTCTGAAAGCAATTACCTGGGATTCCTGTTCTTCACAAAACCGCTCCAAACCGTCTTCAAAGCCAGAGGGACGGAAGAGCAATCGTCGGATATTAGTATGTCGATTTTCCAAGGAACGGGGTTCTTACCACAGAACCGATAGAAAGGCTGGCTCTTCGGGAATCCTGCTAGCATTTTATACTTAGAGCGCCATAGGATTGCCGGGATTTGCTGTGGACCAGCAACTTTCTTACACTTACGCCTCACGATTTCAAGAAAGTGTTTGATTTGGTGCACTGACCTTCTTTCCTGTCTCTCGGAGCACACTGAAGCCTCTTCGTTCAAAGTTATGTGTCTACCGAGTGTGATCGCTAAGTGAAAGTTAATTTGGTTTTGGATGAGTCTGTGGAGTTTACGTTGTAAGAAGAAAGGGAGCGCGAGACACGATGAAAGAAAAGTCTAAAAATGCTGCCCGGACGAGGAGGGAGAAAGAAAACAGCGAATTTTATGAACTGGCTAAATTGCTGCCTTTACCCTCAGCCATCACCTCGCAGCTGGACAAGGCATCCATAATCAGACTGACGACCAGCTATCTCAAAATGAGAGTGGTCTTCCCAGAAGGTAAGCACAGTGTCTAGACTGGATTTCAAAGAAGGGGTTAGCCTCCCCAGGCAGCAGGGAAACGCACTAGTGTTCACCCTGGCAAGTTGCAATCTCTGCAAAGGGAAATTTAAGCAAGCTATTTAGCCAGTCAGCGAGCCAAAGCCTTGTCTTGCATTTTTCTAGTCCCTCTATACTTCCCCACACTTTTCTCTCCAACCCACCCCATATGTTTGGTTGGGAAGAAGCCAAAAGGTGCTTTTGTCAACACTTCGGATACCTGGCTCAGTTGAGAGTACTACTGCTAATCCAAACATAACTTTCCTTTTTATTCCTAGTATCAGAAATGTATCCAGTACAAAGCAGGAATATTGTCCGTTTGCTTATTTTTGCTAGGTGTGGATTAGACGTATATACATGGAGCTAGATGAGCCAGTTAAAATCTCAAAAGAACCCACAATTCTGCAAGAAAAGCAGGAATGCACACCAATAATATGTCCTGACTTCTCAGTCTTTTGTCTGTTTATAGTAAATTGGTTCTGAGTATTTAAGACATTCACCAAACAGGAGCTTCGTGAGCTGTATTTCTGGCCTGAGTGTTGTCTGTGATTATAAGCTCCTCTCAAAATACCCAAGATTCAAGGAAAGCAGGGGAACATGCAGAAATGTATCATCAGTGTTGGGCTAGCAGAAGGTTCCAGACAAATTCTCATGTGGCCTTGAAGTTAGAATAAGAAAGCAGGAAATATAATCTTAAATTGGAATTTCAGTGACCAAGATTCATTGTGAGAAGGCAAAGCTGTTTTCACAGAACATGGTCATGTGTGAAATCATTTCTACTTACTAGAAAAAGTTAATACTCACTGGGGAAGGGGTGCTTTGATCTTCCATTTGCTGGTCTTTACTCACATCCAAGTAACAAACAGAATAGAAAAATATTTTGTTAAGGGAAGAAGTTTTGAGAATAGTAAAGAATGATTACTAGACAAACAAAACACGGAAAGATCCGTGTTTATTTACAAATGGGAACTTTTGGGCATGTTTGTTGGTTTTAGGTGTTTAATGGGTGCTGTTTTTGATGGGGAGAGTAGTTATTACTGGGAATGAAGTTTCACTTCACTTGATCTTCATTTAAAAGCTGGCAGAAATGTTGCACATTATTCTGGGCCACCACAAAACCCTTCTAAGTGGTTGACTTCTACTCTCAATCCTATTAGTGCTGTTATATAGTTAATTCCTTGAACATCTCTTTTCACCCTGAAATCCAGGGAGGAGAGAAATCACCGTTTAGAACACCTACAAAGTGTTTGGGTTTTTTTTTTTTTTTCCAAGAAGAAAGGAGAAAGAACATATACACTAACAAAAGAAATCACATTTCACATCCAAATTATGCTGAGAATTGCCGATAGGAAAATCGCCATTGTGATACACAGCCTTCTGCTTAAAAAAGATATCTCTTTGTCTTTTATACTGTCAGCGCCTACTTTATAAAAATAAAGCTATTTCGAACTCTGCTGGCTGCTCTATTCCTAACAGGATTATTAGCAGTGATTTGTCAGCTACTGTGGTCTCAGTGGGTTCCCTTTCTGCGTGATTTCTAGCAGGTCTCGTCAATTATCGGTGCTGATGTTTGATCAGAAGCAGCATATGGCGCTGCTTGTGGGGCAGCGAATAACCGCGGGAGAAGAATAGAGGGCCGACTTCTCCAGCAGTCACTCAACAGAACCCGGGAATCCACAGGCCTAAGATCTTAGTCTGCTAGGTGCAGACCGGCAGACTGGGGTACACTTCCAGAGGATCGGGCTGGGCAGTTTTTATTTTTGTATTTTGAAAGAGGAATCTTTCTTCTGATGGTGCTAACTCTTAAAAATTAAAAATCAAGTTATAAAGAAAGGGAAGGACCCAAAGTAAATTTTTGTTATGTTTAATAGAGCGACAGGAAAGATTTCCACTGAGGTCTTCTTAGTGGCCAGGCCTTTGGCTACTTTAACCTACAATTGTGCTTTCTACAGCCTACTCTTCCTTAACCCCGGCCCCTCCTACCTCTCCTCTCTTCTATGGGTGAGTGTGAGTTTATGAGGAGGAGGGGATGGACGATGTGTGAACTCTAGGCACATCATTTATTTCTCCAGCTTCTGTGGAGTTCATAACTCACCCGCAGCCTCTACCAGATGAGTTAGCCAGGATCATCAGAGCAGCTGGGACCTAAAGATGACATTTTAATTTGAGGTTGTTTGAGCTTCAAAAAACCCAAAGCAAAATACAGCCCCTTAAAGATAGTAAAGAAAACAACAATGGCAAACAATTACAAAACTCAGCAGGTTTTCAAAGTACCAAAATAGTGACAAGCCGCAGAACCAGGCACTACCTGCAGGGGGGGCCAAACTTGAGACCGGCCTTTACTTAGGGTTCAGTCTAAGCATTGGGGGAAAGGAACACTTGATATCGTTGTAATCTTTTTAGTGATGCGAAATAGAATTTGAAGTTACTTTACACGTCTTGAAGTGTTTCTACTGCACAGTAGGTCTTCAAAAAAACTTTGTTTTAAGAATAAGTACACCCATTTTATCGTGGTAAATAGCCTATCACATTTAACGTTGATTTTATAAATTGTCTAATCTCAAATGATTACAAATCTGATGGCATAGCTATAGGCATAGCAAAGTTGCAAAACTTGTTTTTTCCACATCACATTTCATTTATACTACGGTGTAATGCCCAAAGCTTATATGATAAATAAACAAACCAATAATCTTCCTCGCTCATCTGATAAAAAGAGGGGGATAGAAAAAAATAGGTCATTCCCTGTAAGCCCCCGCCCCTTCTCAGTGTAGTAGCTTTTGTTTGGGCTCATGTTTCAGCATTATGTTGTTTATTCTGAGAAGGTAATACTGAGCAGTTGAGTGTGAAATGAGAGAGGCAGGAAGGAAGAGAGGGAGGAGATAATGATACAAGTGTTAGGGATAACTAAGAATTAGCATTAAACTGTGGTACATACCTGTAATCCTTGCTCTAAATGGGGAGAAGAGGAAACAGAGGTGAAAGTGGAGGAAGATGAGGAAGAGGGGGGGGGGGACAAACATTGCATCAACATTAGAGGTTTAATAAGAAAAAAAAAAAAAAAAAAGGAATCCCAAGGAAAGGTACTGTGAGATCATTGAATGTGAATATCTTCTGATTAATCACTTTCCATTCTAAAATAGTCTCAAAAAGGAAAACATGAGGAATGTAGAAGTGTATGAATCCTTGGTGTTATCAAAGCCAGGAAGATGACATTAAGGGGCTGAAGAGAGAGCCTCTGTGGTTGAGAGCACTGGCTGCTCTACCAAAGGACCAGGGTTCAATTCTGAACACCCACATGGCAGCTCACTAACTAACTGCCACTCCAAGTCTGTAACTCCAAGACTAACACCCTCACATTGACATACATGCAGGCAAAACACCAGTGCACATAAAATAAAAATAAAAATTTAAAAGACATTAAAACAACACCAACATAACTTTATTTGTATGCAAAACAGGGCAAATTCAACTTTAAGATATGTACATATTTGTTGACCATCTCTGAAGTGATTTGGTCAGGGGCATAGTGTCATGAAGACTAAATGGAAAGATCAACGATATGGTTTCAAATCTCTGTTTATAATCTTGGTAATGGCATTACCATTCATTGTCAATATGTCTATGAAAATAAAATGAAGTTGAGATTAGTAAATGCATAGAGACAAAATTCCCAAGACCTATAATATTCATCAAAAACCCTGAAATCCTTAATCACTGTATCTTTTAGCTAAAAACAAAACCAAAACAAAACCAAAAAAATAAAAAATAAATAAAAAATAAAAAGGGGCCAGTTTCTCATGTGGATGTGTGATTTAAGGGTGTTTTTCTTGCTGCTCAGGGAAATGATTGCGCATCGGGTTTCCATGTTTATTTTCTTACAGAAGTTTTTCTCATTTAAAGCCTCCTTTAAGCACAGTTTACACTCAAATGTGGCTTTCTCTGCTTAATTCCACTTTTGATGTTCATTTTAAGTGAGTGCGAAATTAAACTGTGCAAGGCAGATTTATGACTAGAACTTGTAGATTTGATCAACGGAAAAGTAATTTTTAAGGAAAATGAATGTATCATTAATTAAAAACAAACAACAAATAAGCAATGGTGGAACGCTTTCAATCACCCATCCCAAAACTAAAACCTTAACTGGATCTCATATGGGGGTGAGGGGCAGGATGAGTTCAATTCTAGGGAATCTCGGTAGCTTTGAATTTTTACAGTCAGGTCAAACTTCGAATGCAGACTCCCGGATTCTTGCAGTATTCCCTAGTCAGTATAGTTATTTCTCAAAAAAAAAAAAAAAAAAAAAAAAAAAAAAAAAGCTGACCAACAGTACAATATCCATGGTTTGGGCAATTGTTTGGCCAATTGTTTAGGATCAGTCCTGCTACTCAGAAGGTGCTAACGGAATGGGAAGAGTGGGGAAACGTTTTTTCCCCCGCAGGTTTGAAATGCTGACAGATTTGACACTCTGGTGGTTATGTTCAGACCTTGGGTAACTTTTTAATCTGTGACCCTACTGTGCCTTTCCCGTCGCAGAAATTGCCTTTTCCATTGGGTCCGCGGTGTGTTCTCTTTTTGTAGCATCTCATCCTTTAGTCTGGGCAGTTTCCAAACCAATCGTGTCTTAGGTTCACGGAGAATCAGCGACATCTCTACCCCTACCTGTAGGACAGGCTTTGCTAGACACTAGAGTGTGCCACGCCATTTGTTATGCCCAGCCGCGGATGCCATCCCGGCAGGTGGTTAAAAGCTTAGCCGAGATCAGGTTCGCGGAAGAGCTGGATCCGTGGGTCGCTAGGTGCGGAGCAGTCCTGCCTTGGAAGCGAGAGGCTTTGTAAGGTGGTGGCATTGCCAAACCCCGGGCATTCCCGGAAGATTTAAAGCCCTGGACCTTTGCGCACGATATCTTCAGCCTCCAAGCGGGACACTGGTGTCGGGCTTTAATCCAGACCCGGGGAAACTCTGCAACCCCCAAATTCTTTAAGTGTTCAGTGACTCGCAGAGGCTGGAAGCCTGTTCCCTAACCGGAAGCGTGAACTCCGGGGCGGGATGCAGCAGGAGAAATGCGACTAGTGAGTGACCTGCGGCCTTGAGCTGCAAATCACACACACACACACACACGCACACGCACACGCACACGCACACGAACACGAACACTAAAAGATTCTTGGCACAGGCACCTTTGCTCTGGCCGGGGAGAGGCAGGCACGCAAGGGAAGGGCAACCGCTGTGGGTCCACGTAGCCATACAGGACAGGCCTTGCAAAGGTAGGATCCTCTGAGCCCCCGAGAGCTCCTTTTCCGGCAGTGGCCTGAGACAACCCCTAGCACTAGCGGTGACACAGGAGCGCTCTGATGTTGGACCAAGTGTTTGCCTTGGGACAACACCGGAGTTGGTTATGCACCCATTCTGCAAACTTGCAAACTCCCCTCCCCACCCCAGAGCTCCGCGGGACGGTGCTGAGCCCGGAACCTGGAGTGCAAACCCGGGCAGTGCTTTCACCCACGGCGCACAAAAGTCCAGCCGTGAAGTCCAGTCGTCTTTGGGGGTTTGGGCTTTCCTTTTCACACACTCTTCCTAAGTAGCAGCTACTAGCCTCCGGGGACCTGAAGTTAGGAGGAATATGCAAGAACTCGTCACACCCAGGTCCCGGGTGGTAAATCAGACAAGGGATGCTTCCCTACAGCTTCAAAGGCAACAGCCTCAAAGGCAAGCGAGGCATTGTGTGTGTGTGTGTGTGTGTGTGTGTGTGTGTGTGTGTGTGTGTGTGTGATTTCTATGGAGATGCTGTGCTGATAACGAAGGAAAGAAAGAAGGGAGCACTACAACAAACTCTTCTGTTTCCGGTCGAGAAAAGGCGGTAATGGTGCCTGGCCTGTAATCTGTATTTTGTCAAGGGCATGAAATTCATTTGAAGGAAAAGCCCGATCAATTTATTTTTGCTGCTTGCAATAACACAGCTGGATGATGCTTTGAGCGCGCGCTAGACTGGGGCTCATCATTCATTCACCAAGAACGGGCCTAAATGGTGCCTGTGGGATTAGGTCAATTTTAGTGGATCTACTTCGCCTCATTTGGTTACTAATTGGTTTCTTGTTTTATAAATCGAAATCTCATTTTCAGGAAATTACAAAACCCGTGCAGTCAGTCCATTGAGGTAATCCTTGGGTCAGGGGGTATTTAAATGGAAATGGCTCAACCGCGCACCAAGGGTAAAGCAACAGTGAAACTTGCTTGCATTTTCACATGAAATGTGAGGTAGCCCTTTAAATTCATAATAGATACATCCCTTCTAATGCTACTTATGTAAATATGATAAACCAGACTTTAAGGGAAGAGAGGGGCCTGAGAGAAGCAAAATGTATCTGCTGAGGTTAATGTGGCATATCTTGGAAATCTTCCAAAATAGATTATGTTTTCCTTTGTCTTCAGCCACTTTAGCTGGGGAAAATCCTTTTGTCTGAAACCCGATTTAGTTATCGCTTCCCTCACAGAGCGCCTTTTCTCCTTTGCAAAACCCTGTTCCCTCTGCCTCACCGAGTTACAAGGGAATCTTTAGATCTTGTTCTCACTGTAATCCGGCGGCAAAGAGAGCTGGTTCCTCCTCATTTTAAACAGACAATCAAAGGATTTGAGAATTTTCTGCGGTAGGTCAAGTGCAAAAAAAAAAAAAAAAAAAAAAAAAACCAAAAACCCACGAAATTTCAGCTACCCCCTAGCCAACTGAAACCCGGTCCTGGGGAGCGTCACCGAAGGAAAGAGATGGGAGGGTCCGTAGCAGCACTTTAAGACTTCGCGGAACGGGAGCCTTGAACTACTTTAGGGAAGTGTCCTCCACACTTTGGAGGGTGAGCTCCTTCCCTGGTGAGATCCGCCTGTAGAGCAGGGTAATCAGTCCCTCATAAAACATTAACCCAGCCTCAAAGGTGTGAGAAGTTCCCTCTGCCCACAAAAAGAGATCGCAGCCTTTGTGAAACCAAGTTTCCTCCCAGGTGTTCATGTGGGGGGAAGCGCAGGGGAGGGGAGGGACCCCTGGTAGCTCGCACCAGCACCCGCTCGCTCGAGCTGCTTATTAACCTGTGGGCAAGTCTTATTTTCTCTTGTAGGCGCATGATAACGAGGGCACAACCCGACAAAGCAAAACAGGCGCCAAGAGTTCTGAGGCAAGATCTTTTTTACACGCTCCTGACCACCCCGCGATCCCACCGGGCCTTTAGAGTACCGGGCGGTTCCAGGCGATCCTCAAATTTTTCTATTAAAGACAGTTGTTTGCCTAAAATGCACGTTACGCTAGCGTGTGGGCCTACGAGAGCTAGTATCAGACAACTGCAACCTCAGCCCACAGAAGGACCGGCTGAAATGTCCTGCCCTGAGATCCCACGAAGCTTCCGGTTTTCAGGGGTCTGACGGGATCAAGGTCGATGCCACCCAAGTCCTAGGTACTTTCATCAAGGAACGACTTTCCTCTTTTCCTTAGTGAGGCCAACTCCTTTAAGAGGCCAAAATTCAAGAGGCGGGAGGAGGCGGGGAGGGCAAATCGAAGGTGTTTGCTTAGGTGACTGTGGCCGGGCACTCCTGTACTGGTCCGCGAGGATGACTGCGGCTAGGATCACCCAGTCGCTTGCTGGGGGAGGGAAGTTGTGCGCGCAGGGGCGTCTGGAAGGATCAAGCTGCGCTATTAAAGGGGGGAGGCGCTAACCGGAGTAGAGCCACTGTATTTGCAGAGCAGTGTGGAAATCGTTAGATTTATTTAGGTGTGCAAACACCCAGAAAGACCCCGTTTGAGCCCGAGGGGCGCTTACCGTTACTCGTTGTCAGGGTTTTGATCAATTGCTTAGGAAGCAGGTCTTAGCTAATACCTTCCAAAAAGTCTAACCGGATGTTTTATTGTGAAAGACTTTCCCCTTTCCATGTTACAATTCGAGCATGTTTGTCACGGTGTACTTTTCAAAGAATTTGTTCCTAACGAAACAGATCGCCTTAAAAAGGAAAACGGTTAAATCTTATTTGTGATGTAAAAAAACGAAAGGATTTAGCAATAGAAGTAATTTTATCTGCAACATTTAAAAGATACCCACGCATAGTTGGACATGTCTATGCATTCTTTTGTTATTTTTATTTCATCCTTAATACGGGTAGTAGAGCATATTTTATACTAATATATGGGGAGTCTTACATAAATACTTCTACAGCATATTCAGAAAGTTTGTGCCAAAGGCTTGAAAGGTTATCTGAAACAAAGGGGAGGGATAGCCTGTCTTTGTTGATAGATGATACTAGAGAAGTTGGGGAGCCGATTCTTAAGCCCAGAATGGAGCGAAAAGTGTCGAATGGCTGGTACCTTAAGGTTACTGACTCCAAAAGAATCATTGCTTCCCCCCCCCACCCCGGTGAGTTGGGGTGGGTTACTTGAGGATATGGCAGGGCCTAGAGATGCTGGTGAAATGGAAGCTGAAGTCAACCACAAAGGGGGTTTCTTTAAGAATATTCAGGTTTGGCTGAGGGAGACCAGCGTCCAGAAAGCTCAGCAGCCAATCACAAAGGCCACCAGGGACTGAGCCTACTTGGTTTGTGGCCTCTGGTTTCTTTGGGTGGCAGTTGCATTGGCAAAGTGTGAGGGCTCTCTCCGGCTGCTTATAAGGACGAGGATAAAAACTTGGAAGAAAAATACTCTTCCCACCAGCTAAATAGAACAGGAACCCATTTGGAAGATAAGGCTGGGATTGTCCAGGGCAGGAGGCCACTAGCACTTCTGCAGGACAGGAGCTGCAAGCTGACCCAGTTTCCATCCCTGCAGATCGGATCCGGAAAGGGGCGATGGTAATCTGCACCCGCGTTGCTCCGGCTCCTCGAGTGAAAAAAAATCGTAATTGCACTCTAGTCCCCAACTGCCAGGAGGGCCTGGATTCCTTCACTTAAGGTTCTGTGTCTCCACAGGGCTTGGCGAGGCGTGGGGCCACACCAGTCGAACCAGCCCCTTGGACAACGTTGGTCGAGAACTCGGCTCTCATCTCCTCCAGGTACAGGTGCAAGACTCCTTCCTGGACGCCTGGGCACCACCCGGGCTTTTGTTTTCTCATGTAAAAAGAGAGGGGAGGGAGCTTCCAATAGCTCCCCTTAAATCTCAGTTCTTAATCTAGCTAGGTGGTGTTGGGCCAGTTTGGGAGGCAGGAAAGGAGGCAAAGTGACAACCCAGATTTTAAGGTTGCAAATCAGCTTGGCAAGGCCCCAGCTGGGCCCGGCCCAAGGCAGGGTGTTCCGTTTGTCGTTTGTCGCTTTTCGGCTAAGAAAACTGAAACGTGCTGCTCCAGGCCTGGGAGGCAGGACCGAAGAAGCATCTAAAAGGAAGAATTTGCAAAGGAAATAACCGAAGTCTGCTGTAAACGCCTTCAGCGCTTTAAGCCGGCGCATTCCGGATCCAGCTGCGTCTGCAACTCATTTCGTTTCTTCCCTGTAGTTCCTAGGCACCCTCCTTTTGCCAGTGCCTCTCATTTCAGGCTAGTCCAAGCTCTGTACAGATCCAACAGCAACACACATACGCACCCCAAGTAATGAGTTTAAACAACGTGAGGTGGCCATTACCTGGTTATTTGCAGTGCAGAGGGCTTTTAACTACCTCTTGGCCGCTTAAGTCGCAGAGCAAATATTTTAAATAATAAAACTCTCAGTGGCATTTTTAGGATAGTGACACTTGTCTCCACACCCTGCACCCTCTATTATTACTCAAGTCCACCGGGGTCTCCTAGGACTTGAGAAGCCTAATGGAACCAGCCAGCAGGAACAGAGACCCAAAGCTGGGTCCTTCCAGTTCTCCTTCCTAGATACCAAATAGATTTTAGTTTTACTGAACAAAGAGGGCTTGGGTAAGTATTTCCCCACTGATCTGGCTCCCAAACATCTTACCTCAAATGATGTAGTCTACTATGCCATCTATTCCTATATATTTTTCCTAGCAGTATGAGCAGGAATACAAAACCCAAACAGCTTTTCCCTTAATATTTTTCTCAGGGTTTCTTTCCTCTCTTCACTAGGCTTCTGGGAATTCTTGTCTAATTTAACTCTCTCAAGTTCAGAGGTTCTTCACTTCCCTCTCCATTAGCTCCCACTTCCCCTGCACAGGCTCCATACAGTCTGGTCTTACCTGAATTCATCAACTCACAGACACAGGAAGAGCCATGCCTTCCTGCCTCATATTTCTACTCTTCTGGTGTTTTGGTGGTGTGGGTGTTACAGAGAAAAGCCAGAAAGGGAAAGAGAACACCTCCTTTCCAAATTGGAATGGGCCCAATTAGAGAGGACTTAGTGAAAAGGTGTCTTTTGGGCAAAGAAGGAGGTGATACTAGTGTCGACTCTCTCTCAACTCTCTTCTTCCCCCTTCTTTCAACAATAACTTTTCCTCAATTTATCTTCTCTTCTGCCTTTCTCTTTTTAAACATTTCATATTGTTGCCTGTGATGTCATTTGGAAAAGTCCTAACTTGTTTCTTCTCTCACAGCTCTAAAGACTCCAGCAAGATATAAACCAGCACTTGTCACCTGAATGTTTAGTCCCTGTGACCCCAGCTGGTCTCCAGTCTAGACAACCTTCTGGCTTCCAACTTTTGTTTCCTACTGCCAACTAGACACATTTAAGGCAAGAATGTATTATCATTCTCAGTTGTCTACTTACATAACACCTTGATTTCCAGTTAGAGAGATGACACAGGCTCACAACAGAATCTCAGTTTCTCTAAGTTTTCAACCTTAGCTAATGGCGTTGCCTTTTGCATAATATCCTTACTGGAGCCAGGAAATCGACCCACTTGCTCTGCCAACAAATTAATAAAAATTTGCATTCAGTACCATTCTTAAACTAGACTCTCCCCCTTCTTAGATGTGATTTCAGGCCTGTTGCTACACGGGCTTCTCATCTTGATTCCTGTAGATGATTTTGCCAGGAAAAAGGAACTCATAAAAATATATTATTCTTTTGCCTAGAACATCTGTTGGAATCAAATGGCTACAGGTACAATTGCAGGGTTCTCAAATTGGCATTTCATACTCTAAAAATCCACTGGGTTTGTACTTATTCCAGTCTCAGGAGCTCAGAACAACCCTGCCCCAGCCCCTGACTTTATTACATTGTTTCTTTTGCTTGAGATGCTCTTTCTCTTCAGTCCTTGATCCTTTCTCTTCAAGGGTCTTCTGAAACTTCAAGTCCATCCAGACCTCTGTAACATATAGTTTCTGGTCTCTTGCCTATTTAGTTCTACTTACTTAATCGTGTGGTCAACACGATTTATCTTGACGCTAGTTGTATCACTGAACTCCTTCAGAACAGTCTGGTTTAAAGTAGGTCTCCATTGCCTCATTTACAGAGACAGGGAGAGTCTAAGAGGTCTCTTTACAAAGAGCCTGCCGGCTTGATGCATCAGTGTAAACATACATAGACATACACAGTCATACTGCTTTACTACTGGCTGTTCAGAAAAACTTCTCATCTCCTAAATACCCCTCTCCTGACTCTTTCAGAGTCTTGGCCAGCTTCCTTCTGTCTATAACTTCAAATTGCCAGTTCTTCCATGTCAACCAGTATCTGCTGTACTGGATCTTTCTCAAGTCCACTGTTGATCGCTGCCATTATGGAACCCTTCAATGCTGACCCAGGTTCTTGCTGGAACCACTATCCTCAGGACCTAACCTAGTTCCTGTTCCTGTTGAAGGCTGCGATTCCACTCCAACACCCAGAACTTTTGTGTGCCACAGATTTTTCTTTTCATTTCAGTGGCTTTTTGAGACTTTATATGACATTAGCCTTGTCCACAGCCTCACTCCGCCCTGTTATTGTGCTGTGCACTTACAGGCCTGGGAAGTTCAAAACAGGAGCTGCTTGCAACTGGTTGTTCTGGGTTCTGTTTCTGGACAATCTATCACAGCTTCATCTTTCTATGTTGACTGTCTAACTTCTGTTCTCTTTGCTTCATCTCTTCAGATCTCTCACTCTTTTTCTGCCTCCCCAGACTCTGGATGGCTTCATCTTCGTCGTGGCTCCAGATGGAAAGATCATGTACATTTCAGAGACAGCGTCAGTTCACCTGGGGCTTTCTCAGGTAGGTGAGTGGTTCATCCTTCCAGCCTGCAGTGTTCACAGCTGGAATTGTGGGGATGGCTTCCCAATCATTCTATATCTGCATCTGGGCACTGAAAACCTCTTGGGTTAAAGGGGGACTCAATCACTTCCTACCTGCACTTCCCTCCTCCTTTAGCTTCCACTGCAGGCTTAAAGGATTGCTACTTTTTAGAATTCTTACCATCTGCCAGACATCGTGGAAGGAGTTTACATATTTATGTTGTTTTACCAATGTGACTATCATTGTTCTCACTACTACTGCTATTTATGATCATTTTACAGGTAAGGAAGCTGAGGGGTAGGTAAGATGCACCAGGTAGCAAGCAGCATGAACCTATTCCATCTTTATGGTCCTACAGATTCCCTGATGCAAGTTTTCAGCTTCCCCCCGGGGGAATTGTAGAACTGCAGAGATGGTGACCCCCTCCTCTTTACAGGTGGAGCTGACTGGGAATAGCATTTATGAATACATCCACCCAGCTGACCATGATGAGATGACAGCAGTACTCACAGCCCACCAGCCCTACCACTCTCACTTTGTACAGGGTAAGGTAGACAAGCCTTAAGCACCTGTTTATGGCAGTCAGCTTGGGGCATTACCCTGGTTAGCCTTAGTTGGGATGTTGCTTCTTCTGGCTGCCTTCCTGAGCCTTCCTCCTCTTCTTTTTCTCAGAGTATGAGATCGAGCGCTCCTTCTTCCTGAGGATGAAGTGTGTTTTGGCCAAGCGGAATGCTGGCCTCACCTGCGGTGGCTACAAGGTGTGTGGTTGAGTTGGAAGATCCACTCTGAGGGTGACCAGGCAGGGCTCAAGGCTTCTAGAGGCAGGGAAGGTTGGTTCCTGAAACAGGAACTTGTGGACCACACTTGTAGTGCAGCCCCGAAAGGTCATTAGACTTTGGGGATACCTGGGGGTCACTTAAAAGACTAAGTCTAGACACAGGGCATCACTTAGAGAGGAGCCTGTAAAGTTATTGAACTCCTCAGGGAATTAAGGACCAAAGCCTTAGCTCCAAGCTTGCTTTCTCTAGCTGGAAGCAGGATCCCTGCCTCAGTTCATCTGAGGACTTGGCAAGAACTGGCCATCTGCGTTTCTCAATTTTCTTTATTTACAAACTCCCAAGTGAATTTACCGTTGTCTGTGCAGTCACTCTTTGGGGGCATCTCATGGTGTGTGGCCAAAGTAGAATCTTAACATGTTTCAACTCCTCTGCTTCCCTTAGGAAGCAGTTCCCGACCTCTGCTGAGTCTCGCCCCTCCCCCTCCACCACAGGTCATTCACTGTAGCGGCTACCTGAAGATCCGCCAGTACAGCCTGGATATGTCGCCCTTCGATGGGTGCTACCAGAATGTGGGCTTGGTGGCCGTGGGTCACTCCCTGCCTCCAAGTGCTGTCACAGAAATCAAACTACACAGCAACATGTTCATGTTCCGAGCCAGTTTGGACATGAAGCTTATTTTCCTGGACTCCAGGTGGGTGGGTAGTCTAGAGAGGGACTCTAAAGAATGGCGGTGTTTAGACAGGGAGATCCTTGATTTTACTTGCCCATTTTACAGGTGAGGCACCTGTCAAGGTTTTGAGAAATGGGGCCAGGAACCCAGGTCGGGGTGATGAAATGTCCCACATTCAACTATAGGGGATTCCCCTCTCACGCTCCCCGCTCCCCGCAGGGTGGCAGAGCTGACTGGGTACGAACCTCAGGACTTGATTGAGAAAACCCTGTATCATCATGTGCACGGCTGTGACACCTTTCACCTACGCTGCGCGCACCACTTACGTAAGGCCCCACCCTACTCTCAAGGGAGTGGTAAAGCCTAGACCTGAAGTCCACGCAGATGGCTTGGGGTTTTCTCTAGAAGCCTGGGGGTGGTAGTAGTAAGGGAGACCTGGAAAGAGACTGCTATGACCCAGTCTGGTATCTCTGACTTAATGAAGCTGCAAATACTAACGGGGTGGGGGAGGTGTTCCCCCAGTGGGGTTTTCTTCTTCACCTGCAAACATCACTAAAGATGAGAACTGTTTAAACAACCTAGGCTACTTTTGTCACACGCATTAACTCACCTGGCTTTTGATATAGCTTTGCTGTGAACTTAATCTTCCAGGATTGAGGATTTAGAGCTGGATTCCCCCTTCTGCAGTAGGACAAGCCAGTCTGGGAAAACCCTTAACTTTTAATGTTTTCCCCATTACTTGTGTGAAAGACAGCGGGCTCCAGGAGGGACCATATATCTATTAGTGGGGTTCGGGGCCTCAATACAGTTTAACAGGTAATCAATTGATTGGGACTTTGCCTGTCATCTCTTCCACGTGCCCTGGTAGGGTTGTTATGGCATTTAGGGACTTTGCACTCTAATCAACTTTCACTTGGGACCTGTCCAGGACAGGCCGGTTCACTACCATCTGCCTCTGTCTTTCTAGTGTTGGTGAAGGGGCAGGTGACCACCAAGTACTACAGATTCTTGGCAAAACACGGCGGCTGGGTCTGGGTGCAGAGTTATGCCACTATCGTTCACAACAGCCGTTCCTCGAGGCCGCACTGCATTGTCAGCGTCAACTACGTCCTCACGTGAGTGCCTGAGTGCAAGCCTGAGCCCACCTTTTCTGACTCCCGACCGCTGAGGACAAGTGTTTTATATGCAGGGTCAGGCTCTGGTCTCCCAGGAGAGGCCATTTGGTGCAGGTCGAGGACTCCAAAGGTCTCCTTGGCAGTGTTCTAGGGAAAGATTTAGGGGTTTTCCCAGTACTGTCCACATTTGCTCTCTTTTCTCTCAACTTTTCAAGCGAACCCTGTATTAAATAAAATTTAATATGGCAGGAAGGAGAGAGAGGGAAGGATGCGACGTACAGAGCCGTTTACTATTAACAAACTGGACATCTGTTTCACTTTTTCAGATCTAGAGTTTGAAGTTCTTAATTTTAAACAGAGTCTCCAATTGAAGTTAGAATCTTGAAAAAATGTTTCTTTCCTTGAACTACAAAAAGGGGACTGAGTGCCCAGTCTAACTTTAACCCCTAGAAAGCAAAAGCTTTGGGTTAGGCTACAAGAATTTGTGGGTGCTAGATTCTAACACCTTCATTGGATCTTCAGGGTATGACAGACAGGGCAGCTGCAACAGCTGCATTGGAACCTTGTTCTTTCCAGAAACATGCCTCACAGACAATCGATCATGTGGTCCAGTACAAGCCTGGTGGACAAGCATATTTCGTGCAGTGTTTGTGAAAGTCAAGTTGCATAGGGTTGAAGTCTTTATAAAGAAATCTTTTGTATGTGCATTTATTATTTTTCAAGGGTTTGAAAACTTGTGATTTTAGGGAACCTCAGAAATTCTTTACTTTGGAAGTATTGACAGACCAGACACTTAGCAGTAATGCTATTTTGACATTAGGAAGTTGGTTAAAGGATGCTCTTTGGAATAGGGTATAAAATGCAAGATGGGGTTTGGATTCATTCCACATTGCTTTAAATTGTCAAAAAGAAAATGTAGTGGCTGAAAATATGCTTAGCAATAACACCCATTGCTTTCTTTAACAAGAAAATTCAGTAGATACAGATAAATTTGATTTAAGTAAGGTTTTTTATTTTAAATATAATAGGTGTTTATTAGGAATATTTTAATGGCATACTTTTTAGTAAACCATATAAAAAGTTTCAGTTTTTATAATAGCAAGGAGGTAGTGTATTTTAAATCAGAGTAAAAACATACTATTATTTTGGGTATCATGAATCAAGCTATCTCGTAGACCCAGCCTTTCATATTATTAAAATAAACGTGAGAAATTGGCAAGGCACAATTCATAAAATAAATCCATGAAGCAGAAGTATTAAAAGATGAAAAATTGTGTCTGCTCACCTTGGAAAAAAAGAACATTTTTTTAAAAAAGGTGCTTTGTGTGTCTGAGCCATAACAAGCATTTTATATAACCTCTGTTCTCTAGTGGTGCCTGTAGTTAGTAATCATTCTTTATCAAACAGAGTATATAGCCACACAGACCCCTACAAATGATCTGAATGAATTAATAAGCTTAATTTATTTGGAGTCAGTTTGTTTTCCAGTGGGTAAGTGTTCTTTTGCCTCTTGTTGTCTGAATCATGCTTTACGCACTTCCTGAGAGCTGTAGAATTAGACCCTTAACTTTACATCCGATTTAAAAAGGATGTAATGGGAGAAAAATACATGATTTATGAAAGGAAAGTTTCATGGCACACACATTTACTGAACATTTTGTGTCTCAACTGAAAATAGAAGCACACACAGATAAGTATATATACACAGGCTCAGAAGATGGAAAGCTGAAGTTGGTTACACCTTTTTATGAGTCTCAGCTCCAATTCCTTGTATAAAAATTCTCAGAACAATTTTTATAGCTGCAAATGTGGAAACTGCTCCAGATGAAATGTCATCGGCTGGCTCTGTGTGTGTTGACAGGATTTCCATAATGAACAGGTTGCCATTCGTTTGATGTGTATATCACACATCTGGCTGGAAGTTACTAACTCACACTGTCTAAGCAAATTAAGTACATGGCTATTGATTCTTTATGGTAGTAGTGAATAACCACATTTGGTTTTGGGCTACTTCTTCATGCAACCAGAGAGTGGTAAGTGAATCCTTTCCAAACACACCACCTCAACAGAACCCTTAAATACTAAGCAAGCTCCCAAATAACCTGACACTCCAGATGTTTTCCAAATGTAAACCTTTATATATTGTACACTTTGAAGTGATTTTCATGACATGAAAGTAGAGGAAAAAATTTAAATAATCAAGGATCAAATGAGAGTGTGTGTTTGGTAGAAGCTATATTCATATGATTATTTTTCTAATTTTCTGATGGCAAATGTATCGTTAAAATATACTTAGGAAAAAATCAGTCATTATTATCTAATAAAACCGTCAAAGAACAGACATCTACTGAACCTCGCTTTAATAAGTAGCTGAAATAGTGCATGTAGGAGAAGCAAGATGGTTTTAAAACAGGCAATGTTCTTTTCCTTGTGCTTTACTGAATTTTGCAAAGCTGGAGAGAAAAATGTAAAGACACCATAATATAATGAATCTCAGCTTCTCTGGTGTCTACAGTTCAGTGGAACACCTACTGTCTCCTTGTAATGTCACCACCACAATAAAACAAGAATATGACTAGTTTATGATTTTCTGCAAGACATGCATATTCTGAGGGCGTTTTCTTCCACATAAAAATATTATACAGTGAGTGCTTTAAAATGTGTGTTCAATGTGAGAGATACCCTGTCTTGGGTATTAAGAGGATAGGTAACTTGAGGTAATAACTAACTACAGTGACTGCTGATGAGAGGCCTGGGAGTTTAAAGTATAAAAGGAAAGTACATTGTACTTGAGTCTGGGATTCATATGTACCTCTTTTAATTGGTAGTAGTAATTATTCATAGCTAGTTCAGATGGAAAGCATTAGTATTTAATGTGGAGAAAATTGAAAATGTGAAACACCCAATAAACTATGAAATTTATTGGAATTTAAAGGAAACTAGAAAATACTGGTTCTCTTTATGATTATAGGCATTGTATATTTTAAAATTAAGGAATGCTCTTCTACTTTTAAGATAAATCAATGGAGTTGAACTATCATTTAATATATCAATATTTTATTCAGACCTAGATGTTAAAAGAAAAGTACAGTGTTGACATTTCCCACATTTCTTTTTCTGACCCTCTATGATTGTATGTTGTTGATTTTTATGTGTATATTTTCTACTAAATAATTTCAGATAAAGTTATGGACATTGTGGTTTTTACATCCTTCCATGTCCTGCCTAGCTACTATACATGGTGGCACATTTATAATAAATATTCTGAATTACTGCCTATGAATGCTAGTGAAGGTATAGATTAGCATTAGTTTATGTGCCATTAAAATCAGACTACAACTAATATTTATTAAGTGTTCATTGATGGGTAATCTTAGCAAGGCTGATAGAAACATTTTGTGTTGGTTTCTGTAGGTGTAAGGGGTATCATATTTTAAACTAGGTTTTTAATAAGAATTATAGACTAATACTATTGTGATTGATAAAGAAAAGAAAAATCAGATTTTGAATGATCTGACAGATTAATAATTTTGGCCTTTTTTCCCTGATAAAGGGCTTGCCTCTGCTTGTTTACTAATTTTAGAATTGAGAATCTCAAATGCTGTTGTAGGTGATTTATAGATCATATAGAAGGAAGTAGTTTTCTATGTAAAAACTCCAATTTTTGTGTTACTAAGAATAACAGATGGAGCCAATCCAGGTTTGTGGCTATCTACTAATAGCTATGTGAATTTGTAGAAAAGTTGGCTAATGCTTGAAGGAGAGCTACTTAACATCCGAGGAAAATGTGCTTCGCATTGTAATTAACGCAGATCCCAAGCTTCTTGTTCTTATTTGCACACTGTTCTCAGTTAAATATTGTGAGGAGCCTCGAAATTTTCATAATTAAGAAAGGTTTTAAAATGTTAGCATATTTGGTGAATAGAAAACTTTATATATCCTTACTTTAACCAGAAAATGTTAAAACACTCTCAAATTCATTTGTTCTTTCAGATAGGTTAATGGTACTGAATTAATTTCAGTGTTAGGATTTAAATTTGTTTAAATTTATTTAAGGACCAGAAATATTTCTATTGCTAATAAGATTTAGGAAATATATTTTAAAACTTGGTGAAAATATATAATCATCACTTCTCTTTTATGTTGCACATCATGTCAGATGGAGGAAAGCCCTGCTGACTTACTTCATGATGTCTCAGCTGCCATGAGCTTTTATGTGGGACTGCCTGGTTGTGTCAGGAAAACACTGTTTCCTCAAAGTTAACCATAATCTCTGGCTCTTGACAATCTTTTGGTCCTACTTTCAGAGCTGATCCTTGAGCGTTTTGGGGAAGGGTGTGATGTGTATGTCCCATTTAGGACTGAATGGTCCATAGTCTTAGGGTTTCTGTGTCAATAGCCATCTACTGCAAGAAGAAACTTCTCAGTTAAAGATTGAGAGATGTTCTGATTTGTGGGTGTAACAATAAGTCATTAGGAGTCATTTAAATCCTATGTCCATTTAGTAGGATAATAGTACTAGATTTTCCCTTAAGGCCCCTGACTTATCTTGCCATAGATTCTTGACTGCAATAACAATGACAGATACGGGTTCCATCTCTTGGAATAGACTGTAGATTCAGTTAAAAAGTAGTTGGTTATACCCATAACATTTGTACCATAATTGTACCAGTTGGTTGTCAGGTCCATCATTATTATAGCTCTCAGTGCTTTCAGCTAGATGAGCTATCTATTACTTTTAATATTCACCTTTTCTTTGTGGTGACACTATTAAAATTGTACTGTAAAGAGTTTTGAAATATAAATTATATTGTAAACTATGGCTACCCTATCATGTAATTGAGTATCAGAATTTATTCTATCTAATTATAACTTTATATCCATAGACTAATCTGTCCTCATTCCTTTTTTGACCTGAAGCTAGAAGTAAAGGCTCTGTGCTATTGACATCATTTTTCCTTTTTCTTTATGAGGGTGGGAGTCGAGCTGGTCTAGGGGAA